AATTAAAAAATTATTGTTATTAGATTTTAAAATAATTATTAAATATATTATTTTACTCAAACTTGGAACATTTTATACTATAAGGCGTGAGAAAGATAATCGCACAGTCATATTTTAATTAGGATTTGTTTCTTTTTTTTTTAAATATAGATAGTATATATTATTTTTATATTAGAAGATGTTTATAACTTACTAATACTTTGGAATTTTTGATGTAATGAAATGGACATCTAACTTGTACAATTTGAATAAACTAATATTTATAATATATTATCACAAGTCACAATTGACATACAGTTAATTTAATTGATTTAGGCCGAAGTGGTGACACAAAAGGAAGCATTGCAAAGAAAAAATAGGGCAGTCCAATTTGATAGAGCGCAAGCACGTGTCGCTATAACTGGGGCCACGTCCCATTGCTGAAATTTAATAATAGTGTTTGTTTTGTTTTTTTGTTTTTTGTTTTTGTAAGAACAGTAATTCAAGGAAAATTAGCAATGAATTGACTATTGTTTTTTCTTCAAATAATGAGCAATCAAAAGTTTGCAAATTATTAGTTTGTGTCCCCATTTACGCCAATTACAAATTATAAAGAAATGACACCAATATATTCTTATACATTTTAAGACAGCATTGAAATAGAGTTTACAAATCACGTTGAAATGATAGAGGAGGAGAATATCAATCTGTCCAATTAGCATACAAATATTTATACCATTTAATTTGAATAAATTCAATATCTAAACTTAAATTTAAATATAATAAATTTTAAATAAATGTTACACATAAGTTACTTCTATATATAAGTTATACTAAATAAATATAGGAGTCTAAGTCCTGTAATATCCATAACTTCTTCAAACTATAATATAAACAAATGTAAGCCACAAAATAAACAATTTCTAAAAAGCTGAGTTAGCATTATTCTTAAAAAAAAAAAAACAAAAAAAAAAAAAGCAGAGGCTTAGTAAGCATTGAATGGCCAGCTAGAGTCCACCACGCGCATTTGCCACTAGACCACATATAATAAGTTAAATGTCATCCTAAATTAGTAAAATACACAATAATTAATTTCATATGTTGAAACCAATTATTAAATCCATTGCTATGAGATTGATGCATAAATAAATACAAACATATTGACAGCATGGAATATGACTTCGACTACCAGCTATTAAAATATACGTACATCGATATTACATGCATTTTCGGGCATAAATTTCAGATGAGTGTAATGTCATACATACCCAACTTGTGGTTTTTTTTTTTTTTGTTTTTTTTTTTTTTTTGGTAAAATCTCCACTACTTCAAGAACCATTGAGAATTTAGTCCTAGATTAAGAGTGTATAAGTCGAGTTGGCTAACAAGCATTAGAAGCATCGATTCGAGAAAATTTTTTAGAAAATGTTACTGAACTCAAATTGAATTCAAAACTTTGGATTTTAATGATAATTATCAGCTGAAACGTAATTTATATTATTAACCTTGATTAAGCTTATTATATAACATATAAGGTAATTATGTATTTAAAAGAAAAGTTTTTCAAGAATTGAGCCATCTCAAATTTAGAAATTGTTCAGTTGAAGACCTTGAGTAATCTAATCTGAGCTAGTGAGCTTAAATTCGCTGCGAAGGCTCAGTACGTATGTTATTGAGCCGAGCTAAAGTTTCTAGTAGAATGCATAAATCTCAATTGCGGTATTGGCTTCACCTCGTTTAACAACGCTGGTCTAGTAAAATCACAATCAAACTATATGTCTGATTCATAATTTTATAAGTATAAAAATGAAAAATGTCGATTAACGAATGCCGGCTCCATTAAATATGAATAGCACATGGTGGCAGCACGAAGTGCAGTTAGTGAATAAATTCTTAATACTAACTAACATGAACTACCAAATTGATTAATAATATTAACCACCTCAATTTTGCAAACTAAACTAATAGAGATAGTTGAAAACATGCCGGGGTAACTTATTTTTTTTATATATAATAGGGAAAAATTCAATGATGGAGGAATAAAATATGATTCTGCTAGTGTCTAACAATACTATTGAATGTGGGTGGAATTCAGAGATTATTCTAAAAGATTGTGCGAGGTCTCCAATTGAGTAAATTGATATGAAAATCGATATCTGGACTATCTTAACGAGAGTTTTGTAGGCCCGAGAGGAAAAGGCAGGAGCTTCAAGCAAAGGTCAGATGAATTTATGAAAAAGTGAGCAGAGCGATGAAGATGCTGTGTTGGTTAACTTCGTCGAGCAGATTGTTATTATATTTGCTAAGAGATTCAACGGGTTGTCGATCTTTCTTTTAATCAATGTGGCTGATCTTCTTGGCTAGACAGCCGGACATTAACGAAAAATCTTAAGCTGGAACTGTTGGAAGGATAAGAACAAGCCTTTCGAAGAAGACTCATGCTCTTAAGGATCTTTCCAAATTTATATACTTGAGATCAATTTTCTATGGAAACTCATAAGGCTCACTCTCATTTGGAAATCATGAAGATATTATATTGGAGTAGTTGTCGACAATTGGTTTTTGGGTATAGGAACACAAAATTAAGAAGTAGAATGGAGGTTTGGAGCCATGTATGAGATCATTGGGATCATCCAGTTTTAGGAGGATCAGCGTGGTTCGACTACCTAAACAAATAAAATATGACAGCTATGTCAAATTATAGCGGATACAATGAATTAGGAATGGACCTGGTTTTGATTAGGATACAAAAAATCGAATAGGCGGCAGGAGTTTCCTGAACAATGATTAAATATTAGAACCTGTTTACAATACATGTTTAGCAATTAGAAAATAATTCTTTATTTTTTAAAATAAAAAGTAAAAAATTACTAATATTATGTTGAGCGTTAATTAAAAAATTATAATATATAATATAAAATTATATTATAGCCCTTAATCTAATAAATAAAAAAGGCGTATACTATATAATTTATTCTTTTAATACAACTAATTAATGTTTAGAAAATATTTTTTGAATATTTATTGAATAAATAGATGGTGGCTGACTAAATAGCTACGAGGTCCATGAGTCTGAAATCCAATCCAAACGCCTGTAGTTATGGTAGTAAATACATCTAAACCTGTCCGCAAACTCATAATTATTCATCTCAAACCTGTTAAAAATCGAATAGATTTAGATCGGTTAAAATTTGTCATCAGCTAAATTGCCAAGCTTGATGTTGTGGAGGTTGTGCGGCTGAATTAGAAAAACCTAGTTTTTCAACTGTGTTTTTCTCCAATATGGAACGAAAAATCAGTTCATAAGACGCTTGAAAATGACGCTTTTCTTCTGATTTCTGAGGGCTTATGCATCGTGGTAGATTTGGAGGACTAAGGTTTTTGGTGGGTTGAAAGGAAACTTGGGTTGGCTGACTGCCTCTGGTTTGGTTTACAGCCTGAGGTGGATTCATTAAATTTAGTTTTGAGGATTATTAATTTATTTTTTGGACTAAAAATTGACATTTCTTTATTTTTAAAGTTTTCTGATATTTTATTTATTTTAAATTTAAATTTTCTGACGCTTATCAAAAGAACGAACCAAAAAATCAACTACAATATAATGGGCCGGGTCCCCATTCCAGAAATTATTTGCTGCTAAAAAAAGCGTGAACATGTTAATATAAATTTAAATTAAAAATGAAATTTACGCATAATAAAATATAGGATAATTAAAGTTTCTCCGAAGTCCGAAGGCTGAGTCTGAAAACATTAGTTAAATACTGTGTATTGAAAAACTTTATCAGACGTTTCATTAATGTGGCTGTTCAAATAAGATTATTTATGATATTTTATCAAAAGGTTGTTATTTTCTAATTGTTCTTTCTTTTGGTTTATAAAAAAAAAGTTTTTTCAATAACAGTTAAAAAAAAAGGAGAACATCATAAAGGAAACTCTATAAAAGACCCATTTCTTACAAAAGAAATCTATGAATCCAATCCATTAATATTTTTTATTTGAACAGAAGTTTGTTAACGTAGCAATCATATTTACAAATATTACAAAATATTCAAGGGCAAGAGAATTGTTTCCCTTTCAAAAGAAGATGGTTAGTCCAATTTTAGAACAATATTTTCTTGTTTTTTCTTCAGGTTATTGCTTTTTTTATCTATACACAGAGCCAAGCAATAATAAATAAACTTTTAAAAAAAAAAAAATACACATATAATTGAAGGAGAAGCCACTGCATTATATCTCCCACAAAGGCTAGACATTTCCCTTCAAAATTTGTTCCACCAGATATAGATAGCAGATTCAATCTCACTCAAAGAAGTTTGTTTCTTCTTTGCGAAATCCACGCATCTTGAACAATTCAATAAATATCAAAGAGCTGAAAATGATAGATGAATATGGTATAAATTGGAATGCCATTGTTTTGATACTGTTATAGTACAGTCTCTCAACAATCTCAGCCCATCCCCCCAGGAAAAAAATTGGGGAAGCAATGAAAAAAGGGGGAAAAAAAAAAAGAAAAAAAAAAAAAAATGTTGCATCATCGGTTCTGTCTCGTATTGTAATGACTTGCAGCTTAGGCATTGTGGTAAGTGCTCACAACAAGTGAAATATTGGGACTTGAGAGTTTTGTGCCTGCAATCAATTGCCACTAGAATACCATAACCTGTTTAATTTAGACACAATGGCTCATTTATGGTGAATATTATATATCGACTACCAGCTAATTATTGAATCGATGGATTTTGTGTTAAGCTTGAGTTTAATTAACCATCTTGTTTCGATATATTTCAGGCATTGGAGTTTGCAAGCGATCTGGCATTGGAAGTTGAAGCAATAGGGTTATTGAAAACAAGCAACGAAAAAAATAAAAAAAACATGAATAATGCAGTATAGAAATAATAAATTACCTCTTGGATCCAGTTTTCCTCCACAAATTTTGGACATGTTGCAATATAGATTTTTGAAGCATAACTGGGCAATGAGTTACCTGCAAAATTTTTGAGTTTATTAAAATGAACATCCGAAAAAAAAAAAAAAAACATGAATATGCAGTATAAAATATAAATTACCTCTTGATCCAGTTTTCTCCACAATTTGGACATGTTGCATATAGATTTTGAGCAAACTGGGCATGAGTACCTGCAAAATTTTTGAGTTATTCATGAACCATCCCATTGGCTGACTTTTGACAAATGAGGCAAAATAAAATAATAATAATAAAAAAAAAGCAACATAAAAAAATGGAACTTAAAGCTAAAATCCCATAAACCGGAAATTTCTTTTGTGTACAGCGCTTACCGGCAATGTTGCTCCATCTCTCTCACACATTCCAAATGTATCGTATGCCCACATGGTAACACAGTAATATCTTTCATAGTGTCAAACAGAAACTGCACATTGGAGAAGAGATCATTAAGCATCAAACAGCTAATTTTTTCAATAAATCAAAATTGTATTCTGTTAATGCTTTTATTTACCTCAAAACAAACAGGACAATTGTGGTGCATTGCTCTTTCCACACAACGGTGAGCATCTTTCATTAACTTCGAATAGCAACATCCTGAACAGAAATTGTAAAATCACTCCAAATATTCAAGAGGGGGAAAAAAAAAGAGTATAAGATTCCAATGAACCAGTTGGCTCATATCCCACTTACCGCATTTTTCACAATGGAAAAAATTGTCCTTGCCACCAGTTCTGTGGAAAGCCAATTCAAAGAAAATGGTTAAGTTCAAAGGTTCAGCAGTTTAGGGATTGCATTCACAAGGACAGGACATTACTTCAATGATTAGAATAGTAAGCATACAACTGTATAGAAGAAAGAAAAAACAGCTGAAAGTAGATAACATAACAGAAAACATATATCTGAGAGTCTTGCCTGCAAATTCCACATTCATCACAATGGTATTGATTCTTGGCTACCTGAAGCACCAATCAGTTTGATTATCAGTAAAACTTTCCAACTTGGCAAGCCATAACCCAAAAACATAACCATTGAGAAATAAGGAAGAAAATTACATCATCGTCAAAGAATTTGCACTTTGCACAGAAATATTTGCCCATGCAAACCCCACAGTTAACGCAATTCCGTTGAACCTGATTCAATAGAAAACAAGAATATTAAAGAACTCAAAATACAATTATCAATAGTCGTGATACAATTTTTATGTTATGACACTCACATCTTGTTCTGTGCCACAGAGGGAGCAAATGACCTGAAAATTTTATACAATTAGAGAAGTAAATCAATTAACAATACTGAATGCCGAAAATGACCAAAAGAGAACTATATGACCTTCAAATTAGACCTGACCCCAAACATATGCACATCAACTCAATAAAACATCTTGTGAGTTTTGCAGATATTGAAAAAGAATGTGATGCTTTTTATCACAAAATGTTGAACTTTTGCGTGAAATGTTTCTCAAAAAGGCCTAACAGGACATCTGCTTGTTTTGTCTCCAGTATTCCAAAATATTATCCAATTTACTTTCCCTATAGAATTGTGTACTTAAATAAAGAGACAGGCAAGATTCTTGAGACCACCAATCACAAAAGCACATTAACTTGAGAGATGAAATGCACGTGCAAATAGGAAATACCTCAAACGTGGAAGATTCAATTCACAACCACAAGACCAATACTTTTTTTTTGATCTTTTCATACTTTGATTTTGCAAATGGCTAAAAAATGAGTACCAACGGTTTATTATAGTTTATTATCTTCTTTCAAATCACAATCATCAAGATTATCCACCACAGTCTCACTTGAATACATATTTTTAAAAAATCCAAACAATTTCTATATTAATAATAGGAGAAAAAAAAAACGGATATTAGAACTTATTAACTGAAATAGAAAGGGAGAGACCTTTGTAACTTCATGGCGAGGAATATCATGACGATCAAGAGGATTAGTTTCCAATGCATTCTGTTAAGTACAAAAAGAAAAATCAGTTTTTTAAAACAGAAAAATATTCATCAATTAAGCAACTGAAGAATATTTATTTTGGGAAACCCTTCCAAAAATAGTAGAAGAAGACAAATATCATAATTTATTGTACCTTAGCTTCATTATGGCAATGCCTGCAATCAAAGATCTCATTACAACAAGGTGCTCTAATCTTGCATCTTCTCCTGTAATGAGAACACCTAAAAAAACCCGCCACAACAACAAAGCCAAAGGACACAGATTCAATTATCTTTAAAAAATCAACAAACATGGACGAAATTGAAAAAAATCTGAAGGCAAATATAAGGCATACCCATAATTCCTAGATCCAATCTCAATTAAAGATTCATTATTATCTACAAACTCTGTCCCCATTCTCTTCAAAATCCAAAATCTTCACCAAAACCCAGATAATAAAGATTTAAAAAACTGAAGCAAAAACCCAAATAGAGATTACAAACCACCACCAAGAAGACAAGTTAAAGAGGTAAAGAGTTTTGAGTATTTATATATGTATAGTTACTGATATTAACAAAAGGGGATGAGTCAGATACACGGAGGAAAATTTCGTCTTACCCGAGAATTAATGGGCAACGTGCTTTTAATGGATTTGGATAAGGAAGCTTTTATCATGAAATCCTAAAAAGGTTTTTTTTTTCTTTTCTTTTTTTTTTTTTTTTCCTTTTTCGTTGGATGAGCTGTTGATGTTGATTCTTCGATTCTCAGAGGCTGCGAGCTAAGACTGAGTTGGCAAATCTAATTCTTGCGTATTACTATAATTACTATTTACTATTACTATGAAGGGCTGAAGCGGGAAACAACCTGCCAAAAAAATAAAAGAAAAAGGGTGCGGGGGAGTGGTGGTGGTGGTGTTGGTGGTGATTGTTGTAAATGACAATCGTGGAGGACAAGATTTTTTTAACGTAACCGTTTTAACTGTAAAGCGGCATATTGGAGAAGGGAGGATAAGGTTTGAGATAAAATATTGGATTTTAAAGGTCACGCACTTGTCGGGCGGTTATATCACACGCTCTTGAAACTTTTATTTTTCCCTAATAGCTTAGAGGCATACGTGATATAAGGTATCTGGGGTACTTAGTATGTTATCATCATAATAATAATAATAATAATAATAATAATAATAATAGATAATCAATTCAAATATGAATGAATTATTTTTTAATTTATTCATACAACTTGGTCAACTAGATGGGGAAAAATTTTTGTTTTCACATCTGAGTTTTGGCTAAAATTTTCGTTTAGACAGATTTAATTCAATCAGTTTATATTTCTATTGAATCGAACTTAATAATATTTTATAATAACAAAAATTTTAAGACTATGTTCAAAATAACCAATAATAAGTTGATTGGATAGTAAACTGTCTTAATTCTCATGAGGGTGAAATATAAATTCGATATTCAGAAAATGTATTTGATAAGAGACCAAAAAACTTCATATTCTACTATCTAAAGAGAGATTATACCTCTTAATTTTACTGTAAAAAAATTATGCTCAAAATGAAAATATAAACCATCTTTATGAAAAAAAATTATAAATATCATGAACTAAAAGAATTAAAACAACAAAATTAATGTTTTATACTTTCTTTTTTCTTTAATCAACATTGGCGCCAATTTTTTTTTGGTAATTTTTAAAGTCAAGAAAGCAATTGAGAGGACCTTTTCTAACTATTTCTATATTTTAAAAGTTGTTGCATATCCTTTTTGAAATGGGATAAAATTATTCTTCCACAAAAGATATGACAAGGATTAGAAAATAAAGGAAAAAAGATTTTTTTTTTAAAAAAAAAGTAATTTTCCTTTTGTGGGGTATCACTAATTTATTATTATAGTTTGAAGAGAAAATTTTTAAAAAATTAAATATTACTTTTTTCTCTTCATATTTTCCTTCTTTTTTAATATGGAAATGACATTTCTTGTTTTTTTAATAAAAAGCTTTGAATATAAATTTATTGTCAATTATTACTATAATTTTTTTTTAAATATTAAAAAAGAAAATTTAAATTTATTATCGGGACATAATCCACCTACCGCTGCACCATCATTTAGCTTATCCTATCACTACACTATCCTTTGGCATCTGTGGATGTTAGTATAAGAATCAGACTAATACTAGTATACTAGTAGACTAGCACAAAGAATAAAATAGAAAGGGAATTCATTGAACCTTCAGAATGGGGAGAATGAGTTTTTTTTTTTTTTTTTTTTTTTTTTTAGGAATCAGACTAATACTAGTATACTAGTAGACTAGCACAAAGAATAAAATAGAAAGGGAATTCATTGAACTCAGAATGGGAGGAATGAGTTTTTTTTTTTTTTTTTTTTTTTTTTTTTTTTTTTTTTTCTTCCGGGGGGAAGGGAGACTCAAGAATGAGCATTACATGCGGGGAAAACGCGTGACAGATAAATATAATCCCGCCAATTGGATTTTCGTTAAACAGCTGCGCCCTTTGGTCTGCCATTCATTTAGAATCTATTTTCCATTAAAAAACTCATTAGAATCTGAGTACTTGCTGACTAGGACGCATCACAACTATCATGACGGCATGACCAATTGTATTGTCTTGTCCGTGTGTGGCCTTGTATATATAAAACGTGGCAGTTTTTAAATGTTTAGAGGTTAGAATCGAAAGTGCAACGGGGAACTTGTGGAGCAGGAGTTCCTGCCTAGTCAGCTTTATCTATTTATTATAGCAACTCCCAATCTCCGATGTGACCATGGCTTTTGGTTTATATGACGTGAGATGTTATCAATGATATAGCTACACGCTATTTGTGAATATTGAATTTAAAAAAAAGCTCTCTAACATATTTTAATTAAAATTGAATTTTAATTAAAATTGAATTTTATGATGATGTGTACTATTTTTTTAAAATTATATCTAATTAAAATAAAAGAAAATAAATTGAGATTGAAAAAATTTTAGCGTGATAGAAGATAGTGGAAAAAGAAAATAAATTAATAGTAAAAAAAAATTAAATAGCTGAGTCACATTATCTGACAGACTTTTTCAAAATAAAAAATGTGGTTCATAGTGTCCACTTTTTTTTAACATCTCACTTTAACAGATTGAATAAACAGTAATATTGAAAAAAATATTATTATTTAACTGATTTGACAATTAGATAACATACAATTCACAATCCTGCTAGAGTTGCTCTTAGTAGGTTTTACTGTGGATGATTAGGACAAGCGGATAAGACTTCAATTGCTACCGATATTTGCAGACGCACTAAACCGATTACTCCACATGTAGGCATGACCACCAGTGTTTTTAAAACAGGACCAGAGACATAACCGGTGTTATTATTGAGTCATGGTTAGATCAAGTCGATTCGAGTCAACTCAGTTGAATCGAATTTTGACTTTTATTTTGAGTTTATGATTATTTAGCAATACTCAAATAAAATTTATCAATACTAAATTAGTATGTTGGCTTATAATTTTATACCACAATTCATAAAACTTTAAAACTAAAAAAATAAAAATATGTTTTTTATTTTTATTTTAATGATTATTATTAATAAAATTAAGAAGTATATTGATGCACAATCTTAGAACAAAACAATAATAATAGTATAATTAAATTGTAAAATTATTTTTACAATCATTATTATATATATTTCAAAAATAATATTCTTAATTATGATATGTTAATTTAATATTAAAATTTCTATTATCATTTTTCAAAGTAATTACTATTTTTTTATTGAATAAATAGAAAAATAAATTTAAAAATAAAATAGTTTACTTTTCATAAATATTAATGTAATTGATATTTAAAAAAATTAAAAATTTATCAATTAACTAATATGATAACTATTGTAAAAAATCTATTGTATTTATTGAAGCCATAAATGAGTTTATTATTTTTTTTTTTAAATTTAGTATGTATCTTTAAAATAGTTTACTTTTCATAAAAATGAAAATAATTAATATTAGTTATATTATTAATATTTAAAAAAATTAAAAATTTATTAATTAACTAAAAAGATAACTATTATAAAAATCTATTGTATTTATTGAAGCCATAAATGAGTTTATTATGTCTTTTTTCCAAAAAAAATTAGTATGTATCTTTTTGTTGATTTTTAAGTTTTTCTAGGAAACTCTACGTACTATTTTAAATTATCTGTACAAGTAGCTAGGTAACTTTATACATATGCATGTGATTGTAATTATTATGGATGGAGACAATTTGGGTAAAAAAAAAAATTAAAAGGCAAAAAAAGTCAAAAACCTGGTTTGATTAGTTCAAACCAACTTTATCCAGTTTTTACACCTGCTGGGTTTATATATAAAACCAGACCGATCGACTTTCAGTTCGCGATTGAATCGATCCGACTGGCCGGTCCGGTCCGATTTGAAAAAAATTGATGACCACAATTCTAGAATTCGATTTTCATTTAAAATTATCGGTTTCGGTTTTAAAGAATATAAAATCAGAATTGAACCGTTTTTAAACAGATTGAAAGATGATTGTAAAATCATCTGTTCCAATTCAGTTCTGATTTAAAACCAGAATTAGAAGTTAAAAAAAGTCACAACATAATTTTTTTTATTCCAAAAAATACTTTCAAATTGCTTTGTAAAAGGAGAAAAATGTCTATTTACTTTATTTGAGAGTTTAAAAAAATAAATATTTTATAATTTGTATGTAAAAAATATACATCATAAAGTGTAAAAGATTTAAATTAAAAATACTTAAATGAGGAGCTATTTTTTTTTTTATTTTTCCCTCTTTTTCCACTTATTTACAAGTTATATTTATGTCAATGAATTTTAAGATGATGGTAGAATTACTGCATTTAATGGTGAAAATTAAAATTAATTTTAACAATCAAAAAATCATGTGATCTTTTTTTTTTTTTCCTTTTTTAACGGTTTCAAACCGAAACCACCGATTTTAATTTTAACTATAAAGAACCGCAATCAAACCTTGAATACCCGATTTCAGTTATAGTTTGAAACCTTGAACCATTGATCACGATTTGATTTTGATTTTAACAAATTCGGTTCTAGAACTGTGATCACGTCTAACTCTAGCATAGAATATCTAAGAAATCAAAAGAGAAAATAATTAATATCAAATAAATTAATATCTAAGAAATGACTATAAATTAGCAGCATGTTCCCTCTACTAGTGCTTTTGAGATGGAAATAATTCAGCCTATGGGTTCTTCTATGAATGTGATTAAGGATCAAAGTTCAGCGTTTGTGTCTGCGGAAGACAATGCTATGGTTTTGGATGAGTCTAAGAAAAGGCCAAGGTGACACGGGCTACTCAATCTACCTCTCCCATTGAAGATTCTGCAGATGCTTCTTTGGTTTAAGTGTTTAACAGTTCAACGGTGGAGCCTATTGAGCAGGCCTGTCGAGCACAATGATTTGCATCAATTGGAACTGCCGAAGCTTGGGCAACCTCCGGCAGTTTGCGCTCTGCGGGAGCTTATTAAGAGTAGTAAGCCTGATGTTTTATTTTTAATTGAAACCTTAATTCACAATAGTAGAATAGAGGAGCTATGAGCTCAGTTTCATTTTGATTGTTGCTTTTCAGTTGATAGGTTGGGTAGGTCTGGTGGACTTGCTATTTTTTGGAATAATAAAGATTTAATTCGTGTTGTTGGCAATTCCCAGAATCATATTGATATGCTAGTTTCTTCTTTTCATAATACATGGAGATTAACTGGTTTTTATTGCTTTCTGGAAACCAATCGCCGTAAAGCATGCTGGAAGTTTCTTACAACTTTGTCTAGACGTTACATGTTGCCATGGAC